TTATTTTCTACCAACCTTTTATTACTGTGACAGTGAGATAGTGTGACATCTTTACTGAGCTATGTAGTTCATTCCTTACTTAACCATTTCAAATCAGGAGGACTTGGTTCCCGAGCCCGTTCTGCAGGAAGATGGCGAATAGAAGCATAAAGATTTATTAGTTTTTCTTATAATATTCATTCATAGTATTTCCTTCAGTCAGTTTATCCTTTCATATCTTTAATACATTTTGATTATTGTGTAAGTGATGTTAATCATAATCTATTTTATTTCGCTTCCGCACTTAGAATAAATATATACATTTCTTTTTAATTTCCGGGGCCGTTACAACTTAATATATTAAAGTTTAATATCTGTTTAAGCTTAACATTTTACTTTTAAGTCAAACGCAATTAATTTAATAATTTTTTATGCATAATAAACTTACATATAAGTTCACATGGTTGGTTAAAATTCAACATCATGTCCATTTTTATTATGATAAAACTTTGAATTAAATAATTAAATTTTTTATACGAAAAGCTGGTAAAATTTTTAATTAAAGAGTTTTAATTTAAATATAATTCATATAATTTCAATAGATGCTATTTTTAATTACAATATAAATTTTTATTTAAATAATTAGTGTGCTTCTTAATTAAATGTTTAATTACAATAATAGTTAGACACTTATTTAGTTAAGTATTAAATTATTTGCAGTATTAATATCTAATTATTACAATTTTAATATCTCACTAATTATTTTTAATTAGAAGGTGAATAAAACAGTAAGATATAGAATTATTAATATAAAAATGCGATACTCCAATGATTACTATAAAAATATTATTCAATTACCCTGTTATATTGTCATCTAATATTATAACAGTGCATCAAAAGTCGTGGGGGCATAATAAAATACACACACACACACACACACATATAAAACAAAGAAGAAAAGCATTGTAGCAAGACTGTAGCGACCACCAAAACGCACCGTTTAGAGGTTTTGACGTGAGCAAACAGCGGCAAAGGCCACGTGTTCGACACCTCTTTCTTGGAGAACTCGAACCAACAAGTGTCAAAGATTCAGGTATACTAAATCTTTACAAAATGACCAAATTACCCCTGTCTTGTTTTAATTTTTACGAGTCCTGTCCCAATCCCAACTCTTTCATTTTTAATATGATACAAGCTATATTGACCCGTGGCATTGATAAACTC